GTCTCCATGTCTCCATGTCTCCATGTCTCCAAGACTCCATGTCTCCATGTCTTCATGTCTCCATGTCTCCATGTCTTCATGTCTCCATGTCTCCATGTCTCCATCTCTGTGCACCTTGTTGTTTGGTGTTTGAGTGTTGCCAAAAGTCAAGTACATTACCAGGAAAAATAATTCAACGATTTTCATTATTTTCATTACGTTGTAATAATTCAACGATTTTCATTATTTTCGTTTTTGATTACGTTGAATTATATATATGTCCGTCATACTTTCTATTCAAACTGCTGATTCACTCTATTGGAATTATATATATGTCAGTCATACTTTCCACTCAAACTGCTGATTCACTCTATTTTTCTTTTTATTTCAGAACTTCAAGATTAGCTAAATTATTTAGTCTTTAAATCTTACCACCTTTGACCCCACCATGGTCTTCTGGGGCACACGCAGACTAATGAATCTTTTCTTTTTCTTTTAATTAAAATACCCAGTCAAGAGCCAAAGGATTTGCTGCTGGACTTGGATTACAAATGGCTCGGCCTTCCATTGTGTCCTGTCTGTTCTTCATCTACTGCAGCGCAGCTACGGCGACACGTCTCATTAATGCAGTGACTCCATTGTTTCTGGTGGGCTTTATTTGGATGTCATACATCAAATTATCCATAAATATTTTAAACATCTCCCCGACGCTCGACCCTGAACGACTGCCATTGGACTGGATCTCATCACGTGACTATAAATTGTAATTTTCTTCACTTTTCTAAATGGGATTGGAGACGTTGAAATTTTAATGAAAGACATTTTCATCACTTTTATCAGACGTGTTCCTGTTGTGTTCGATGGATGGTTCCTCTGTCTGAGCCGGGGAGAGAGTTTTTTAGATTCACTTAGACACCGTAGAGGAGGGGAGTGTAAAAATAGGCCCATGGTTTTTTAAAAAACTATTTCTGTCTCGTTCTTCAGACAAATCCCGACAAGTCATTATTTGAAGTGATTATTTCGTCTTGTTTTGGCAGCGCGGTCGTTGGTGTCATTTTTGAAAGAATTATCCAGGAATAATTTCTTCATCAGCTCAGGTCCTTCAACAGCTTTGCACACAAGTATTCTCCAGGGATAATTCCTGAGTTCTGGAGTGGGTAGAGCCGACACCACTTTGTATGAGGTTAAACCCCAGAATTATGTGACAACTCTGGAGACATGTTGTCTCTTTAAATCACATTTTTACCTTGACACATTTTTCCTACGTTTAAGAAGCTGTCCACAGAAACCACGAGCTGGAGTTGGAAAAAAAAACAGTATTATGTTAAAACAGGGACGCAGGAATACATTGAAGTTTAAGAAATGAAAGCCATTAATTAAAGAAACTGAAGGTCTTTGTTGAGGCTTCACTCAGTTTGATGTTCCTTATGTCTCTATCTCATAAAAATTGTCACCAAAAGTTTGTGTAACAAACTCGAATCATGTTGTAGTTTCAGTCGATTACAGTTTATTTACTCAGTGTGAAATTAAGGCCTGTTTAGTTGAACACGACACTGATATACCGGCAGGAATTGAAGAAAGTCTTTTTGTGTGAGAGCTACGTCTCTCTACCTGACACTGTTCATTTGCAGCAGCCTTTGAGAAGGTGTCGCGATGACCTCAGCTTCACGTTGCTGCTGCCTGCCTGAGGGGTTCATCTGCCCCTGCTGGAGACTCCTGGGGTGGCAGGTCGGTGGGGGAGAAGGAGAGGGCAGCTGTGTGAGACACCAACACCAGGAGCCACGGCAGGAATTGAAGAAAGTCTTTTTGTGTCTTCAAAGTCATCTGCAGCCACCTAGTGGATGGAATCAATCATTGTGTGTGTGTCTGTTAGTGTGTGTGTGTGTATACGCTGAGGTCAACAAGATGCATTCTGGGATCTCTGCTTTTTATTTAAAAATAAATGTTAGCTATCTGGTCTTAAACAAAAGTTAAATGTGGGTGTTATGAATTTAATTTCTTTCCTCCTTCTTTATAAAATGGATTTAAAGTTAGTAAATGCCAATAAAGGTTGACATTGTTCTGTTTTTCCAATGGAAGATTTTTTTTTCTTCCTACATTTTTCATTTTGCAGCAATATTCAAATGCTTTTCAGCGTCTGTTCTGTTCATGGACTTGTTTGTGTTTGTGCTCGTCACAGCAGCTGAGAGACGGGGGTGAAGCTGCAGGACTGAGACCTGAGCAAAAACATTACCATGTCCCGTCTGTGGAACACATCATGGAAGAAACACTACAAATGAGTGAGTTTTCTCATGGATGATCATTTGAATGACTCTACAAATGAGTGAGTTTTCTCATGGATTTGAATGACTGTGTTTGACACAGTGGTGCATCTGGAGGATTGGAAGATGCTAAAGGTTGTGACATTCAAACAGTTGTCACTGGCAGTAATTTTGCCAAGTGAAGAACCCACTGCAGCAACACAAGGAGTTCACTGGGATGACTTCATCTGTTTTTATTTTTAACCAATGAAATGATGGCATTAAAGACACAGAAATATGTCAGTTGAAATAAGTTGAACTCAGATTATGACCCATTTTTATTCACAGTGTGCGTCATCCTGTTCCTGTTTTCAGATTGAGTAAATTAATTAGTTTAAAATTAAACCGTACATTTTCACATCCTGACGACATGATGTCAATAAAACCTCAGACTCCTGACTCCCTGATTCAAGGTTGAATGCAAATCTCTGCACGTTTATGACTACGACCCTTATTTTTAGTCTTTTAATTTCTAAAAACACTAAACTTATTTTTAGCTTCAGATTAATTTCTCTGATGTTGTATCCAGTTATATCAACAGACGTGACTGAACAGATAATCAGTCAGTATTCAGTGTCAGCTGTTTGGCTTCATGAAGGTTGAATTCCCAAAGAGGCGAGAACGTGAGCTGAAGAGCACAAAACCTCATCATCTCCCTCGACGTATGTTTCAGGTTTTCTTTAAAGTTTACTCATTAACCCCAGGTAATCAGCTTTACCAGCCCGGCTGAGAACCCGTCAGCTTACTGCCAACTCTTTTTCAGTTGAAATGCCTTCGTTTGCCTCTAATGGGCTTCTCTTCATTTTACGGCGTCTTATGTTCTCCAGCACGTTGCCCTTTTCACACACAATTACCTCCTCAGCTCCACTTCAGGCTCATTAACAGGACTTTAAAGTTTTCCTTGTGCTAAAAACAGATGCTTCGAGAACATAAATGAGACAAGAAACTCAAAACTCTGTGAAATTATATGGAAAGAAAAATCTCTCTCTATATATATTTTTTTTTTTTCACTGACGGTACACTCTACAGTATAACATCATCTTGTTGGGGTAATCAGATTATTTTGTATTCAGAATATCTATACTTGTGTAGGTGGAGGTGACCCAGGTCACTAAGAAACACGTAGACATTATTTATTGTCCTGACAATAACCTCGTCCTCTCGTTCTCCACTGGTCAGTCCCGTCCTCCTCTCTTTTTGTCACTTCAACTGTTTGTCTCTCTGTTGTGTTGGTTGTTAAGAGGAAAGTTTTAATTCTAATTCTAAAACTATAAAGTCCATTGACTTGACATTCACCACCACTTCGGTTGTTTAATGTCAAATGTGTGTCTGATCATCTTTGGCTAAAACTATAAAGTCCATTGACTTGACTTTCACCACCACTTCGGTTGTTTAATGTTAAATGTGTGTCTGATCAGCCCAGTGTGAACCCTCTGAGTCAGCAAACGAAGCCAGTCCAAGTGTTTACCATGATACATACAGTAACACTCACCTCCTGAAGGCAGTTCATGTTGACCTGTACATCCATCCATCCATCCATCAGTCCATCCATCCCTTTATTATCCAATGTTTATCCTGTTACAGGTCAGACAGGAAGCTGCAGTCAAAGCAGGGTTTAATTTCTTGGAGTATAAAAAACATATTTTTGTTTCTGTGACATGGTACACTTACATTTGATAACAAAGTTAATACTTTATCACTTATGATTTTGGTACTGGTATATCTTATTAGTATAACTAATTATGAAGATAAAGATTTTCCAAATTATTAAACCATACAACTCTAATAAGGATAAAATAACTGTGTACACACACAGTTATCACAGGACAATAAAAACAGTCAGGTATTTAAACTGTCCATCTTGAGCAGCTAATGAAATAATCTTTACTCTAACAAGGTTTGTCTGTAGAGAATGCATTAGGTAAACTCTTACTACAGAAACAGTTCCTCAAACTGCTGCCTAGAACGAGAATCATTGGTGCTACTATGGCTCCCTCTAGCGCTATATGAGGGATCGGTTTCATATTGGTATATTACTCTGTGTGTTGTGTGCTTTATCTTCCCTTTGCACTGCTGATTATTGTGTTCCTTTAGCTGATAAATAATCAATAATCGTCACACAAAATAATAATTAAAAAAGGAAACTGTGGACATTTTTAAGGTAGAACATATTGTGATAATTTATTATACTTTTCAATTCACGAGGTATGATCCTGTACACATAAACAAAATATTACAAACTTAATAAAACACATCATGTGTAGCCATTAGAGTCCGCTGTCCTTTTCACCACTGACAGACAGTTTTGTTTTTGAGTCTTTGAGTCGTTGCCTCTCACAGGGGTCTCAAGGTGACCTCTCTCCTGTAAGAAAACCGGGTGAGTTTCACTCCCTGGTACAGATTCTCTCTGCACTGCAGCAGGCGGTAGAGAGACAGGGTGAACTTAGCCAGCACCAGTGCACAGATGATCTCAACAACCAGCAGAGAACTGTAGAACATCGCCTGAGTCCTGCACTGCTGAACTTTGGTCCTCTGACGGTACTCAGTGCGAGAGGCGCGGTCGATTGGTTCTACCGGTGACGGATCGGTCAAGATCACTGGAGTGGTTGGTGGAAGAGTCGTGTGTAAATGGATGATTGTAGTGGGTCGGGTTGTTGTCAACGTGGTTGATGGTGCAGTTGTTGTTGTCATTTTGGTTGTAGATGGTGTTGTTGTGTGTGGTCAGAAGAAAGACATGACAGAACATGAGGGAAGCAGTCCAGGCTGTGTCTGAGGGCAGAAACCACACGTACACCCAGCCTCTGTGAATGTTGTGGTGAACAAACTCAGGGCCCCACCCAATCACCAGCACGTCGTAGAAAACGTGCAGCGTTGACATGGTTGACATCGAGAATGTAGTCATGGTTGTGGTTGTTGGTAGTGCTGTAGTCATGGTTGTGGTTGAAGCGGTTGTAGGTTGAATCATGAAAATAGTAGGAAATGTAGTTGTTATTGGTTCGAGAACCGTTGTTGTTACTGCGGTGGTGCTAGTGGTGGTTGGTGTTGTTGGAAATGCTGTGGTAGCAGTGGTGTCAGTCGGTTCACTGGTTAGGAGAGTAGTAGTAGGTGTGGTAGGTAAAGGTGTAGTGGTAGTCAGTGTGCTAGTTGTTGGTGCTGTGGTCAGTACTGTTGTAGTTGTAGTTGTAGTTGGAGGAGTAGTTGTAGTTGGAGGAGTAGTTGTAGTTGGAGGAGTAGTTGTAGTTGGAGGAGTAGTTGTAGTTGGAGGAGTAGTTGTAGTTGGAGGAGTAGTTGTAGTTGGAGGAGTAGTTGTAGTTGGAGGAGTAGTTGTAGTTGGAGGAGTAGTTGTAGTAGTTGT